CATTTGGCCTAGGTCTTATAGGATGTGTAAGAGTTTACTAGACAGAAAACATGGGAGAGGTACATACTAGGCATGTATGAAGAACGTTCGTATACCAAAGCAAGGGGGGTGGGAAAGAGCTCCCTATGTTTGAAAATAATGAATAGGAAAGCATGGCTGGAGTGTTAAATATTTGGTGAAGAGTGAATGGCAAGGTGGCTGAAAAAGTAGGTTGGGATCAGATTGTGAAGGGATGTACATTGTCTGCATGTTTAGGAATTTTTCTTCATCCTAGTTATGGTGAGTCAGCAACGCTTTTAAAGTAAGGAAGTAATGTGGTCGGATTTTAGTTTTAGAACAATAAACTCTTGTAACAATCGAGGGATGGCTTGGGGGAAAAAATAGATGCAGAGACTGCAGCTTTTTTTATCCTAAGATTCTAAAGTTTGGGAACTTCCAATTCATATCCTAAGTTTATTTAGTGATTCCTAGTATATCCCCTCTTGTCTTCCTGAAATAATCTCTAAGCTTGTCCACATGCAGCATTATCTGTATGCCTTTTGTTGAGCACATAGCTTTTTTTTTTCTGGGCATTTCTTAACATGTGGTGATCTCACACACACAATATTTAGGTGTAGGAAGGATATGCCAATGCTTTCTGTTTGATTTTTTTTAAGTTTATTTATAAGTAATCTCCACCCAACATGGGACTCAAACTCATGACCCCAAGATCAAGAGTCTCACGCTCTTCCAAATGAGCCAGCTAGGCACCCCTCTATTTGATTTTTTTTATTAAAGACTTTATTTATTTATTCATGAGGGACAGTGAGAGAGAGAGAGAGAGGCACAGACACAGGCAGAGGGAGAAGCAAGTTCCATGCAGGGAGCCCGATGTGGGACTCCATCCTGGGACTCCAGGACCACACCCCAGACTGAAGGCAGCGCTAAACCACTAAGCCAACCCGGGCTGCCCGGTACTAGAAATTTAAAGGCAATGAACACTGTCTCTGCCTTCAAGGAACTCATAATCTAATAGGAGAGTTCAAAGAATTTTTTTAATGACATAAATGCTTATCAGGGTGCATACTTGAGGACAGAGGAAGGCAGAGCTAATTTCTGTGGGCTACCAAGAAGCATCAGAAAATATTTTTCCCTTTCAAACTATATGAAAGTATAATTCCCAACTCTTTTTACAGCATTTGAAAATATAATATAACAAGAAGGTACAAGTCTGTAATCACTTCAGAGCTCTGTTTCAATTTAAGCCATGTCCTCTGAACCACTTTCTTGTAATGCATTAGTTATTTTTAACTGTCTAAGAGTTTGTGAACATTTCTTTTTTCTTTGCAAATTCTCCCAAATCTCTGAGTTGTTGGCCTCTAGCAGCAGTTTGGAATGACTCGTCTGTAAATAGCATTTTTCACTTTAAACATGTTAATCTCATACACTGGCATCACACTTAGTTTCTGCTTTGCTTTCATGGAAGATAAGTCTTTTAAGAAGAGCCCAGGAGCTCAGCATGAATTTCATGACCTGCATTTCTTAGTAGCTATTTTGCCTTTAGCATCTTTTCTGCTTGATGAGTCGATAAAAGCTTGTCCTAGTTTCTTGAACCTATTTTGTAGCAATAATTCAGCCTGCATTTTTTCTTTCCTTATTGTTTCCTTGAAGTTTAAAACTATTTAATACCTTCATGTTTGTTTTCCTGTAGTTTTCAATTCCAGGGAGAAATTTCTTCCCTATTAATCTCTTCATAGGTCCTCTGCAGAACCAGAGATGTCTATTAATTTTCTCCTTATAATTAGGAATTTGATAAACTGACGTCTCCACATATCTTCTCTTGTGGGTGTTTTTCTGATTGCTTTGAGCTTAATGTTTCTGTTCTTTATGTTGTAGTAATGACTTTAATATCTTATGCCTTCCCTATGCTTTGATCAATTTCATATCGCTTGCTTATATTCAGGATTGTGTCATTGTCTTCTGACTTAGTTGTTTACCTCGATGATTATTTTAGGTAATATTTTCAGAAATATGTTACAGTATTTTAAGAATCTGAAAACCATGGGACGCCTGGGTGGCTCAGCAATTGAGCATCTGCTTTTGGCTCAGGGCGTGATCCCAGTGTGGGATCGAGTCCCACATCAGGCTCCCTGCATGGAACCTGCTTCTCCCTCGCCTATGTCTCTGCCTCTCTCTGTGAGTGTCTCTCGTGAATAAATAAATAAAATCTTAAAAAATATATATTTTAAAGAGGGGTGTCTGGGTGGCTCAGGTCTTGAGCTCAAGGTTGTGAGTTTCAGTCCCATGTTGGGCTCTATGCTGGCTGGGCATGGAGCCTACTTAAAAAGAATTTTTTTTAAAAGACTTCAAGTTATTTATTGTTTGTTTGTTTTCAAGTTATAATACATGCCTATTACAGAAAATTTTGAGAATGCATAAAAGTATAAAGAAGAAAAATGTAAACAGTCAGTAATTCCAACACCAGTAAGGCTACCTGTTATTTCTGTGCAACCTCAAATTTTCTTGAAGCCTTAGTCTAGCAACCTCCTACCCTTTTCTTCCTCAATAGACTGTTGAAGACATTAAGAGTGGAAGACTTACTTTAAATATAAGGGTCCTTAGGATTTTTATGGAAGGGATAGAGCTGTAGGAAAAAGCTACAAATTGCTCCAGAGATGACATCTTGTTCCTATTTAGCTTTCTTTGAGTCATTAACAGTCGGGCGCCACTGGTGCTGAAACTTATCATTATTATAACCGCAAATGGGTTAATGCCCAAACAAAGCTATATTCTTGGGGCTGGTTCCCAGCTCCACCACACAGATCCCAGCAGCAGCACCCTCCAAGTCCCAGGATAATGCTCCACAAATAAGAGGATGTCAAATGTTCAGCCTGAATTTGAAATTCTCTTCTTTTATCTGGGAGCTTCCCGTTGCTGGCAGGGCAGAGCAAAAGGAAAAATAAATAAATAAAAACCAAGCCAACAAACCCTAAAAAAGGAGGCTGTGTGGTTTAGTGGTCAGACCACTAGCCTGGAGGTTGGGATAGCTGAAATCCAGTTCTAGCTCTCCCACCGATTGGCTGGATGATACTAGACAAGTCATCTTCCTGACCTGTTCCTCAGTTTCCCTGCTTAAAGAAGGAATTGCTTTAGAAAGTTTTTATGAGGACAAATAAAATGATCTGCAAATAGCTCCGGGTTGCTTGGAAAGAAAATGAAATTGTAGTCCTTAATAATTACTATCCTATTACTTTATTAATAATATAGTAATAAGCCACAAGTGTGAAAGTTATGAAACTTCCATACCCTTAAGCTGCACTGGGGGGGAGGGGCAGCGGCGATGGGATGGGGTGGGAGACAACGGTGGAGGAAGAAAGCAAATATATTTTTTAAAGATTTTATTATTTATTCATGAGAGACACACAGAGAGAGGCAGAGACATAGGCAGAGGGAGAAGCAGGCTCCCTGCCAGGAACCCGTTGGGGACTGGATTCCAGGACCCAGGGATCACGACCTGAGCCAAAGGCAGACACTCTACCACTGACCCACCTAGGTACCCGAAAAGCAAATATTTTTAAATCAAATCTGCAGGACTTGACGTTAAATACCAAATTAGTAAATTCATTAGTAAATTCATAAATGCTGCTCCTAGTTTGGCTCTGTCCCTTTATCCTTACCACATCCAAACTCAGAGTGACTCACGGGAGCCTAGAAATAAGACACATATACAATTTTAAGGGAAAGGGAGAATTAGGAGGTTTGAAGCTGCTGCTGGAGAAGGCTAAGAATAGACCACGGACACAAAGAGAAGCTCCTCATTCCCTTCCTCCCAGTGTAGGTGGTCCCCTGGTTTCACAGTCATTCCTCTGATGGCATGATTCTTCTTTTCTTCCTTCCTTCTCTCCTTCCTTCATTTCCTTGTTGTTGTTGTTTTTCCTTCCTGCCTTTCCTCCTTCCTTTCTTTCCTTCTCACCTTGTGGGAAGAAGTTAGCTTTTTTAAGTAAGGGTCAGAGTGGGCTTCTCTACTATGTTTCAGCTGTGACTACACATCACTACAGATCACTAACATGATGTTGGGAGTGGGGAGAAACAAAAAGAAATAACTAGAGATCTGGGGAGTGAAAAACCAATTAACTCTCCCTTCTTGGGGCGCCTGGGTGAGCAGGGCCTCTGCTTTCAGCTCCGGTCATGATCCCAGATCCTGGGATGGAGCCCCCACTTCAGGCTCCTTCTCCCTCTGCCTCTTTGCTCACGCACTTGATCTTTCTCTTTCTCTCTCAAATAAATACATCTTAAAAAAGCAAAAACAAAAAAAAAAAAAAAAACCCTCTCCCTTCTTAAAAAGAGAAGTGAGAAATTAGACATATGAAGAAAAAAAAATGCAATAGTGTCCTCCTCGGTTGTGGACCCCATCCCCTTAAGAAGTGAAGTGTCTCGGTAGGAGAAAGGAAAGACACCCGAGAAGGGGATCACACGGTAAGTAAGGGATGGGGGGTAGAAGGGAGGACCAAAGATAAAGAGGAATCTGAGAGGAAATGTCAAAGAACTCTTGTAGAGGGTGTAACAACCACCTTTCTGCGTGTCCAGCCCGGACCTCAAGGAGCAGCTAAAACCTACGCCTGTGGAAGCACTTGGTAGCGATTTAAGACAGTAAATAGTAAAGAGAGCTACAGGTAGGTATTGGGACACTAAATGTTGATGGGAATTTAGGGGTGGGAGCTATTACTGTGAGGACGACAGCTGTATAGAACAGGAAGAGTAGTTATGAAATTCAGAAACTGCAGTTGCACGGGGCTGACAATTTTTCGACCCCGAGACACGCGAGCGCGAGAGAGGCTCCAAGAGAACCCTCGACTCAGCTTCCTCCAAAACCTGACTCGTCAGCCCCGAACGGCGGTCCTAGCAAACCTCGACCGCCGCGAAGCGACTGCGCCCGGAACCCGTGTGGCGAGCTTAGGGGTTGCGAGACGGACACTGTTTGCGTGACACCCTCCTCCGCCTCCCGCCCCCCGCCCGCCGCGTGGTTGCCACGGCAACGGTGAGAGCCGGCGACCTGGGTTCCGGAAGCCGGAGAGCTAGAGCCTGGAAGCTCCCACTGGTCAAAGGATGCTGAGTCCGGAGCGCCTAGCCCTACCGGACTACGAGTATCTGGGTAGGAGCTTCCTTCAGCCTCGCAGAAGGGGAGGAGTGCAGACAGGCCAGGGTCTGGGGAGGAGGCGAAGAGGGGGCTGAGTGGGAACCGGTCGGGGTGGGATGCGGAGGGGCCGTTCCCGGGCCTGGACGAGGGAGGCCGAGCCAAGGGGGGGAAAACAGCATCTGGGATGGGGGGTGGGAGGGTGTCAGAGAACGTCTGAAGTGGTGTACGGGCTCAGGCTATGTGGATCGTGTCCAAACTGGAGTTGAAATTTGGGGGCCTTATGGGGGACGTTACAGACCATGCTGGTGGTGGAGTAACCTTGGAACCTGAAGTGCCAAACCAAGCCATTCTGTGGACAATTATGTCACCCTTATAGCGGCCACTCACATTTTTTGAGCATTTCTTTTTCCCGTAGGCACAATGCTAACTAAGCCTTTTACGTGCATTGATTTGGTCTTCCCAACAGCCCTAGGAAAGAAATACTGAGTTTTCCTTCCATTTTGCAGACGGAGAAACTGAGGCTGAAGAGGTGACCTGGATAAGTAAAGGCCACAACAGCTAGAAAATGGTAGAGCTAAAATCAGAAGATGATTTGCCCGCTCCAGAGCTTGAGCTCTTGACCACTAAGACAGTAGCTGTAGTCCTTTATTGAGCACCTTCAATGTGTAAGGCCTTTGCTGGGAGAAAAGAGGATGTATGCACATTAAAAAAAAAAAAAAAGGCTTTATTTTATTTTTATTATTTTTTAAAGATTTTATTTATTCATGAGAGAGAGAGAGAGAGAGAGGCAGAGACACAGGCAGAGGGAGAAGCAGGCTCCATGCAGGGAGCCTGACATGGGACTCGATCCCGGGTCTCCAGGATCACGCACTGGGCCAAAGGCAGGTGCTAAACCACTGAGCCACCCAGGGATCCCCCAAGAGGCTTTATTTTATTGAGGAATTTTAAGTTTACGGAAAATTGAGCAGCAAATGTTGTAGAGCCGTTCCCATCTACTCTCTACCCTTCACTCAGTTTCCCCTGTGATTAACATCTGACATTAATGTAGTACATTTGTTAAAATTGATGAATCAGTATTCATACGTTATTATTAATGACGTCCTTGCTTTACACGAGGGATCACTCTTTGTTTTGTACAGTTCTCTGGGTTTTGACTAATACGCGTCATGTATCTGCCATTATAGTATCATACAGAGTAGTTTCACTGCCCCAGAAATCTGTGCTCTGTCTGTTCATCCTTCTTTCTGCCCCTCAACCCTTGGCATCCACTGACCTTCTACTGTCTCTGAAGTTTTACTTTTACAAAATAACATGCAGTTGCAGTCATGCAGTATGTAACCTTTTCAGATGGGCATCTTTCACTTAGCAGTATGAACTTAAGGCCCTCCATGTGTTTTCCTGGCTTGATAGCTCATTTCTTTTTATCACAGTAATATTCAATAGTATGGATATACTATAAAAAATTTTTTTAAAGATTTATTTATTTATTTTTATTTATGATAGACACACAGAGAGAGAGAGAGAGAGAGAGAAAGAGGCAGAGACACAGGAGGAGGAGAAGCAGGCTCCATGCCAGGAGCCTGACCTGGGACTCGATCCCAGGACTCCTGGATCACGCCCTGGGCCAAAGGCAGGCACCAAACTGCTGAGCCACCCAGGGATCCCCACTATAAAAAAAAATTTAATGCAAAACAATTCTAGTTTAAATTTTTAGAGACATAGGCAGAGGGGAGAAGTAGACTCTCTGAGGAGCCTGATGTGGGACTTGATCCCAGGACCCTGGGATCATGCCCTGAGCCAAAGGCAAACGCTCAACCACTGAGCCACCCGGGTGTCCCTAGTTTAAAGGTTTTAATTGGTACTATGGAAATTGCATTAAAAATATGAAGAAGTTTATAGTGAAGTCTCCTCCCACTCCCCCTTCCACCATCTACCAGTTTTCCTCCACCCTTAGCACCACAGCAGTAACCATTATGACTGGTTTCCTATATGTCCTTCCAAATTAGTTTATTACGTACATAAGGGAGAGTATAGTGCACACTTTTCTCATTTAATAGATCTTAGAGTAAAATGTCAGTCTTGGAAAGCTTCCTTTTAAAAAAATTTTTTTAGTTACATAGTATTTAAATAATTTAGCCAATTCTCTATTGGCAGACAAGTTATTTTTAGCCTTTTGCTATCATTTAAAATACTCCACTGATAACCTGCAACTTTGTTCCTTTACTAGTATACCTGCAAAGACAAATTTTGCAAAGTAGAATTGGTCGGTCAGGTAAATATGTATTTTAAATATTGGTGGATGTACCAAATTGCCCTTCATAGAAGTTGTACTGTTTTACATTGCCACTAGCAATGTAAGAATACCTGTTTCCCTATAGTCTTTCCAACAAAATATATCAAATTTTTGAATGCTTTCAACCTATTAAGTGGCAGTTAGTTCCAGGGTAGATTTAATGTACATTTCTTTTGTGCAATTGAGCATCTTTTTACCAAGTTTATTTTATTATTATTATTTTTTTACCAAGTTTAAGGGCTATTTGGTTTCTGAAAGGTATACATATATATAGAAAGAGGTATATATGTGTGCATATATATACATATATATGAGTATATATGTACACATATGTACATGTATATTTGTGTGTTTATATATATGTGTGTGTGTATATATGTATATATAGAGAGATTAATTGACCACATCTGTTAGTCAAAATAGCATAGTTATATCACAGATAATTTTGTATCAAATGAATAATAATAGCAATGTCTAGGGCAGCCCCGGTGGCACAGCGGTTTAGCGCTGCCTGCAGCCTAGGGCGTGATCCTGGAGACCCCGGATCGAGTTCCACGTCAGGCTCTCTGTATGGTGCCTGCTTCTCCCTCTGCCTGTGTCTCTGCCTCTCTCTCTCTCTCTGTCTCTATGAATAAATAAATAAAATCTTAAAAAAAAATAGCAATGTCTAGACCTTTGCAAAGGATTATGTATTTTATCTTATTTACCCCATATTCAATGAATCTATAAAATATTTGAAAAACCTAGTCCATTGTTCAGTCCCTTGGGTGTTTGCTATTTATTTTTATTATTTTCTTTTTAAAGATTTCATTTATTTATTCATGAGAGACACAGAGAGTGGCAAAGACATAGGCAGGAGAAGCAGGCTCCCTATGGGGAGCCCGATGTGGGACTGTATCCCAGGATCACGCTATGAACCGAAGGCAGATGCTCAATCATTGAGCCACCCAGGTGTCCCATGCTGTCGAAATAATATACCTCAAAGTCTTTGCATATTTAACACACTAAGTGCTTTGCTGAATAGAAGTTGGTGGTCCCTCCATAGTGGGTTTTTCAGGAAGACTAATTCAGTGGCAATGCTGATAATCTACAAACAAAATCAGAATCTCAACTTGATTCAGAAAGCTCCAGTGTCCACCCTTCCACCTAATATCTAAACCCTGGACAAGTGCTTCTTCAGGCTCTGTTGCATATTTAAGTGTCTTATTTCCCTGTGCCATTCAGCATCCGGACAGTCATACTGCCCTGAGCAGGGTGATAGTACTTACTGGCTTCTTCATGGTTCATCAGACCATCCAATTCTGTGAAATGCATTTGTCTTTAGTTGAGAACAACCCCTATCCATTACAGTTGGTCTCTTTTACGGGGACGCTGTTTTGAAGTATTCACGCTCAATTTAATGACCATTGAAAACCATTCTTTATAGATTAATAAAATATTTCCTGGTTTTTAAAATTTAAATACCTGTAGAGGGTTTGTCTTTTCTTTTCTTTCTTTTATAAATTATGAAGTCAGTTACACGTGTAGGCCTAGAGAAGGAAATACATATAGAGAAAAGAAAATTGCAGGAACAGGAAAGCTCTGCACATTCAGCGAAACAGAAAGCCAAAGCTGAGTACCCCTTGGCACATGGGTCAGAGGGCTTCGTTTTAGTATTATGGTAGAAACTATAGGACTATCTATTCAATGAATATCTATAGATTTCCCTTTCTGACTGCTAGCCTTAATATTTGCCTTTTTGACTATTAGTGAAGAAAACAATCTTTCATCAGTTGGGCAAACTGATCCATTCCCCTGCTGACTTTGTGGATTAGGAACCTGCAGTCATCCCCTAGAATGGCTTAGGATCTTCAGATCATCATTACAGAATCAGCTCAGGGATGTTCATGCCTGCAGTCATCAGAATGTAATGATAGAAATTGTGTTAATGCCGAGGGCTGGTAAGGAGATGAAATAAGAATAGAACCCTTGAAAGATTTCCAGCCTTATGAAATCTACTTATTGGAAGCTTCTGCCAGAGGCTGAGGTGTGTTTGTGTATCTGGTTGGGTGTGGAGAGCTCTCTAGAGCCGAAGGGCAGCCTGTTCTGGTCCCAGGTTTGCAAAACACACCACCTACGTGCTGACCTGAGTATAAGCATGAGGGTGTGAGGTTTATTTTTTACTCCACCTAATTTAGTGAGGTGTATGTTTTCACTCATGCTCCAAGTTACCTCTTCTGTTTCCATGAAAACTGCTTATTCTCACTAAATTTAGTGTTTAGTTGGCATAACAGATAACTCTAGGAAATTAGAGATGATCTTTCTCCTTTGGAGGGTATACTTTTGGAGGAATCTTAAATTGAATAGAGGAATTTTAAATTGAACAGTTTTTTTTTTAAGTTGTAGTTTTTAAGCACTTCGTATATACTTAGCAGTGTGCCTTATCTGATTTATTTTTTCACAACCACTACACAAAGTAGGTATCGTTAATCTCATTTGGTAGTTATTAATATTGCCTCATTTTACAAATAAGGAAAAGCTTGGAAAGGGTAATTAATTTGTACAAAGTCACATAGGCGATGATGCATAACAAAGCCAGGATTCAGACCCAAGTTTGCTGATTCCATAGTCTGTTTTGCCCTCTCCACCAAGAAGATACATATAAACAAACCCGAATATTTATTTGGCTGCAAAGGCAGTGATCCTTGCTTCCCTGTTAGAAGTGAGCTCTTAAACAGTTCAT